CATCATCAACTTCATCTTTGTTTAGCTACAAAACAAGATGGATAAACTACATTAACCTACACTAAACTAATGAACTAAGGAGAATTAGTGAAAGCTACATTTTTGTGGTAGTTCCTATGTGATGCCCCTACCTCTTCCTAGGGCGAACCCTAGGATATCAGTGGAGAGTTTGCCCAACTCTCATCAGGACTCACGCACTCATTCTAGCTTAATAGAGATCCACAAGCCAACCTTAGATTTAGAATTAAGGGAATACTTCGAATATATAAGCGAAACTTCTAAGGCAACCATTTACAATTACAATCCAAAAACCCCAAATATAACAAAATTTACACTTCAAATGTCTCAAATACCATAAAAAAGATTTACTAGCTTCAACCAAAAACCGCTAGTCTAGAGTCCCCAATTTTCACTTCCAAAACCTGTTAAGGAAAACAACTTAGGGTGAGCTAACGCTTAGTGAGGCTAAGAAAATCAAGCAAGTAGCACGAATTAATCAAATAGCACACTTAAAAGCGACTTAACATGAATTTCATACAAGTGAGCAAATAGAAAGTAAAACACAAGCAGAAAGGATACAGGAGCTCTCAGAAACTATTCCTCACGTCTCGACCAGTTCAAGCCATCTATGGTTGACCCTCCGTCAACTCAAGTAGCAACATGTCTATAGAGCTTCGCTTCCTCCATCCACCATATCACCCTCTCGGATTCGGAACCAAACAAGCATGAGGTGACAATACTTATTTCAGTATGCCAAGCGAGATCTCATGTGACGACCCCATCTCCTCCTAGGGCTTACCCGAGGGTTTAGCGGACCGCCTGCCCAACTCTCGCCAGGACTCACTCATTCAATCCAAGAAAATAAGTTGTAACCTCAAGAGTAAATGAAACAATAGTTCTCAAGCTTGGAACATACAATTACATCCATTTCTATCTCAAACGATCATACAATCCCCAAATATAACAAAAGATTTGAATTCCAAATACATTCAACCCTAATCGAGCACTAGTGTGCGTACAATTGCCAAAAATTCAAAAACTAACTAGTCTGTACCTGCCTCACGCTCTCGCTCGTACCCCTTGTAAGGAAAACAAATTTAACGGAATAGAGTGAGCCAAATCTCAATGAGGTTCCAAAACTTCATGCAAACTCAAGTAGCAAGTTGGTCCTTATACAAAACTTGAAATGTCAAAGTAGCGAGTATAAGAGTTCATAAAAGTGAGCAATAACACTTCAAATAGCAAATATCAAAATGAGCGAGTGTAAAGTTTTTTTTTTAAAAAAACAATAACACTACAAGTAACAATCATTTCAATGTATAAGAATACAGATGGCTCTCAGGAGCCAAATTCCTGTTGCATGACTTGATCCGAACCCGTTGACACTCCGTCAACGTTTGAAGAAGCAAACCATGACCGTAGATCTCTACTTTACACCAATTTTCATCCATCAATCAACCCCCTACTAGGCTCGAAATCCAAAATAAGGGTGGTGGTAATACTCGAGTATACCGAATCCAGTGGACCAAATCAAAAGGATTATACAATAAATAATAAACAGTAGTACCTATGGTTCGTCAGTCTCCTCGACCAAGCCCTTATTGGCTTGATTCGACTAACTAACCAATAGGGTGTGGATCCAAGAAGTGAGATGGGATGAGAGGCATCTCCCATTCGGATTGAGTGTGGTACATGCTACCACTCAGCACTTACAAGTCAAGTACAAGATCTTAGGTAGTATTCAAGTTATGATCATATATATCAAGTCAATAATAACCAGTAAACAATAAGAAATCACATTAGGGCAAGTGCGATGAAATACACCCTTGCCCGTTTAAACAAATCAAGTATTTCTTTCAAATATCAAGTTCGATCATGCTGATAAGTGAATATTTAACGTATATTTTGTACAAGTTTGGCATGAACTTTTGGTATGTTTTGAGAAGATTAAATCCATATTTGAACCCTTTTGGTGATAATTGCTTAAATATTGTTCAAGTGTTCAAAACTTGATAAATGAGTGGATTAATGCGTTAATTTTGTGAAATTGTTAAGGATATTGATGTATGAAATTCATGCACGAGATTAAGGAATTGTAAGAATTGTCCTGAGGATAAAGTACAAGAGAAACTAGGAACAAACATGAAGAGAAAAGAGAAGAAATAAAAAACTGGAAATTCATCAGCACGGATCCGAGCTCGGATTCGTGTGAGTAAAGGGCAATCCGAGCCCTCATCTGTACTTTTGGAACAGTGTATCCGAGGTCATAAGATCCAAGCTTGGATCCACCAGAGAAAGCCCTTGGATCAGCCTTGATCTGAGCTCGGATCATTCTTCACCTCTCGGATTCGGGGCTCGGATTTGCCTCTCTCTTCTGCAAGTGGCACAACCGTTTTTTCTAACTTTTCACACAACTTTTCAGCTATTTGGAGTGAGTGAATTCAGTGGCACATGCTTCTGCAACAAAAGGGAAGACAAAATCTAAGTGGTTATGGACAAAAGAGAAATGAGTTATTGACAAGTCAAAACAACATATCTTTTGACTTCCTTTACAAAATCTAAGTGGTTGAAATCATGAAGGAGAAAAAAATGCCTTTCTACCACCTTTTATGCAGAGACACAATGGAGAAGCTGGGGAGGACCATACGTAGCTAGTTTTCCTTCTTGTAACTAGTTTCTCTCTAGTTAGGAGTTCTTTGAGAAGCATTTGGAGTTTTCACTTGTAATCATCTTGTACAAGAACATAGCAGAAGTTGGAGGGCTTCACCATCAATTGGCTAAGCTTTTTTTTATCTTTCTTGTACTTGAACTTTATGATGTTTTGCATTAATAAACTTGTGAGTTTGATTGTTAAATCATTCATGAGTAGCTAAACTTCTTTATCTAGGGAGTAGATGAAACTTATGGCTAAATGATATGAATTGAATGTGATTTACACTTATTATATCTTGTATTAACTTGTCTATTTGTGCATGTAGTAATTACTTGTTATTGTTTGATTACCAATAGCATGTTTATAGTTGTTATTGCTCAATGAGAATTGGTAGTTACAATGGAAACACATGAGTAGAGCTTAAGTTGTATGTTCATGAAAATAGAGATACACTTAAGTGGATTACTTATCATTTCATGAAAGAAAACAGAATGGAACTAGTATTTCACCACAAAAATAGGGAAAACTGAACTACTCTAGGCCATTTCATCATGAGAATGAGACTTGGTAATTTTGGAAATGAATCTCTGGTTAAACAAGAATAATAACAAGAGGTAAATCCATTCATTTGTGTTGTTTATAATATAAGTGGAATCTACATCCCTAGATTCAATCTTTAGTGAAATTTCTCCATTTACATTTAATATTGATTAAACCAGATTTGTAGACAATAGCATTACAATTTTCTTGCTCAGATTTATTGTAAGTCTAAATAATAGAGAGAAATAAGGGCCTAGTACTCGTTTAATTTGCTCCTCGTGGGATCGATCTGATACATATCCTACATTACGATTTCGGCCTGTATACTTGCAGTGAACGGGTATAAAATCGAATTTAAACTTGCATTGATATAAAAATCCGGTCAAATTTTTGGCGTCGTTGCCGGGGAGCGGCAATATTAGGGCCTAATCATCTCTATTAATTTAGATATTTTTATTATTTTTATTCAAGTTGTTTATAATTGATTTTAATAATTAAAACTGCAAAATTTCTTTTGTTTTTATTTGTAGTGTATGCACCGATCAAATTGAGAAATTTCACCTTTCAATCCTGAAATTGAGAGGACACTACGGAGATAAAGGAGGAATACACCGCATCAAGAGGAACAAGAGGTTTGGCAGCCAATAGAGGAAATCTTGATAGAGTTACCATTTGAGGAAGGAATGGCGGAAAATGAACCAAATAGGAGAATTTTATGAGATTTTGCTTTACCGGGAACACAAGGTTCTCAAACTAGCATTGTAAGGCCAACGATAAATACTAATAATTTTGAGATTAAACCATCACTGATTCAAATAGTACAATAATCTCAATATGGAGGTAATGCTGCCAAAGATCCAAATTCTCATTTGTCAACATTTCTTGAAATCTGTGATACAATTAAGTTTAATGGTGTTAGTGATGATGCAATTAAACTTCGCTTGTTTCCATTTTCACTAAGGGACAAAGCCAAGGTTTGGCTACAATCTCATCCTCCAAACACTTTTATTACTTGGGCTAAATTAGCTAAGGCTTTCCTTAACAAATTCTTTTCACCTGGAAAAACTGCTAAAATTAGAATGGATATAACTAGTTTCTCTCAACAGGAAGGAGAGACATTGTATGAAACTTGGGAGCGCTATCGGGAATTGCAATGAAGATGTCCTCATCATGGTTTACTAGATTGGCTAGTAGTCCAAATATTTTACAATGGTCTCACCTATCCAACAAAGACGCATGTAGATGCGGCAGCGGGAGGAGCATTGACGGGAAAGACAACTGAGGAAGCTCAACAATTGATTGAAGAAATTGTTGTTAACAACTACCAATAGGCAAACGAACGAGGCAATACAAGGAGAACCGCAGGTATGCTCGAAGTAGATACCTTGAATATGTTAAGTGCAAAAATGGATAATGTGGTTAAGATGTTTAATAGGCACGTTGGTTCTAGCTCTAATCAAGGAGTAGTTGTTGCATGTTGTACTACTTGCGGCGGAGATCATGATGATTCTATGTGTTCTAGCAGCGAACAGGTTCAATATCTCAACAATTACAACCGTCCACCCCAGAATAATCCATAACTAATACCTACAATCCAAGATGGCGTAATTACCGAAATTTTGGATGGAAGGATCAAGGGAACCAACAAAGACCAGTTAATCCACCGGGTTTTCAACCGAACCAACCATTTCCGGAGTCCAAACCAACTTGGAAATTGGCAATTGAGAAGGTGGCAAATGTATTAAATGATAAAATCGAAAAGTTAGCCAATGCCACTACTCAACGGTTTGAGAGAATTGAAGGAATAATGGACCAACTCACCAATATGTACAGGAATGTTGAGGTCCAATTAGGGCAAATAACAAATGTGGTTAACAATCGCAACCAAGGGGATTTACCTAGCAAGACTGAGGTGAACCCAAGGGAGTATGTGAAGGCTATAACCCTCCGTAGTGGTAAGGAGGTAGGTGAGCTGCCTGTAGTTGAATGTGAGAAAGAATGTGAAAGAAGAGAGAACAAGCAATTGAGTGAGTTAGGAGAGGATGGCAAGAAAATCAAAGGGAAAGAAAAGATGGAGGAAAATGAACCACAAATGAGAGATACAACACCAATTCCTCCACCAGTGCCATTCCCACAAAGATTGAAACCTTCGAGAAATGACAAAGAATTTGAAAAGTTTGTCAACATTTTCAAACAATTACATATTAACATTTCTTTTGTTAATGCTATTTTACAGATTCCTTCATACGCAAAGTTTTTCAAAGAGATAATGACTAAGAAAAGGAAGTTAGTAGATAGTGAGACAATTGCATTAACGGAAGAATGTAGTGTCATTATACAAAACAAGTTGCTACCAAAGTTGAAAGATCCAGGAAGTTTCACAGTTCCTTGCACTATTGGTAATGTAGAATTCTCTAAAGCACTTTATGACCTTGGTGCAAGTGTTTCATTGATTCCTTTACCTGTAGCTAGGCAATTGGGGTTAAAAGAGTTAAAACGTACTAACATTTCCTTACAATTGGCTGACAGGTCTATTAGACATCCAATGGGCATATTGGAGAATGTGCTCACTAAAGTGCAGAAATTCATTATTCCTGTCGATTTTGTTGTTTTAGATATGGAGGAAGATGTCAATGTACCTATTATACTTGATAGGCCATTTCTAGCCACCGCAGGTACAATAATAGATATTAAACGTGGTAAGTTCAAGTTCCAAATAGGTGAAGAGGAATTGAAATTTGATTTGAGTAAAGTGGAGAAATATCCCTCTTTTATCGACCATGTCTATTCTATTGACATGTGTGATGAATTGGCATTAGAGATGAGTCAAGTTAATCTTGATGACGATTCTCTTGAACTTTGTCTTAATGGTATAGGTTTACAAGAGGAACAAGTTGAAGAAATGACTGAACTTTTTGCAGGCACAGGTTCCTTACAAAAGGAGAAATGCATATGAGGAGTTAGGACTGAGTAAAGGGCTACCTCCACCATCATGTGAGCAAGCACCACAGCTTGAGCTTAAACCACTGTCTAAACACCTCAAATATGCGTTTCTTGGAGAAAAAGAGACATTGCCGGTAATTGTCAATGCAGCACTAGATGAGGAACAACTAGACAAGCTCTTACGTGTTCTGAGGAAGCATTTAAAGGCTATAGGATGGACGATTTCTGATATCAAGGGAATTAGTCCAACTATTTGTATGCACCGGATTTTGTTAGAAGAAAATTCTAAGCCGGTGGTTGAGACTCAAAGAAAGAAATCCAAATATGAAAGAAGTGGTAAGAGTAGAAATCCTTAAATGACTGGACGCAGGTATAATTTTTTCAATTTCTGATAGTGTTTGGATTTCTCCTATTCATGTAGTGCCAAAAAAAGGGGGATAACCATAGTACATGGTAAAAATGATGAAATGATTCCCTCTAGAGTTGTGGTGGGGTGGCGAGTCTGTATTGATTATAGAAAATTGAATGCAGCTACTAGAAAGGATCACTTCCCTCTACCTTTTCTTGATCAAATGGTAGAAAGATTAGTCGGTTATGAATTTTATTGTTTCTTGGATGATTTTTTAGGATACAATCAAATGGTAATTGCATCGAAAGATCAAGAGAAAACTACATTCACTTGTCCTTACGGCACTTTTGCATTTCAAATGATGCCTTTTGGACTGTGCAATGCACCGGCTACCTTCGAACGATGCATGATGGCAATTTTTTCTGACTTTAATGAGAAAATTATGGAAATCTTCATGGATGATTTTTCTGTATTTGGATCTACTTATGATTATTGTCTTAACAATTTAGATCTAATTTTGCAAAGATGTGAAGAAACAAACCTTGTACTCAATTGAAAAAAATGTCACTTCATAGTGTGTGAGGGTATTGTGCTAGGTCACAAAATTTCTTTAGAAGGTATTGAGGTAGATCAAGTCAAAATAGAGGTTATTGAGAGAATGCCTCCACCTATCAATGTGAAAGGAATTCGCAGCTTTCTTGGACACATGGGATTTTATCGGCGATTTATTAAGGATTTCTCTAAAATTGGTAAACCTTTATGTGAATTACTTGCAAAAGATGTTCCTTTTCACTTTACTAATGAGTGCTTATTTGCTTTCAATAGGTTAAAGAAGGAACTTGTGTCCGCACCCATAATAGCATCACTGGACTGGAGCTTGCCATTCAAATTAATGTGTGATGCAAGTGATTTTGCAGTTGGGGCTGTTCTTGGACAAAAACATGATAAGCGACTTCATGTCATTTATTATGCAAGTAAAATGTTAAATGAATCCCAAGTCAACTATGCAACAACAGAGAAGGAGTTGCTAGTAGTGATATTTGCATTGGATAAGTTTAGATCATACTTAATAGGATCTAAAGTTATCATTTATACCGACAATGCAGCACTCAAATATTTGTTAAATAAGAAAGATCCAAAACCTCGACTAATTCGATGGATTTTATTATTGCAGGAATTTGATTTGGAAATCAAAGATAAAAAAGGATCTGAAAACTTAGTCGCTAATCATCTTTCTAGACTAGAAAACATACCTCAAGAAGACCATTCATCCATTAAAGAAAAATTTCCAGATGAGTTTTTAATGGCAATTTATAAGTCACCATGGTATGCTGGTCTAGTCAATTTTGTAGTTAGTAGAGTAATACCAAGTGATTTGAATTCTCATCAAAGGAAAAAATTCTTAAATGATGCTAAACATTATTTTTGGAAAGAATCGTTCTTTTACAAACACTGTGCAGATGGAATAATTAGAAGATGTGTTCCGGAAGAAGAGATACATAGTATTCTAATGCATTGTCATACTATTGAAGCAGGAGGTCATTTTAGTACAACTAAAACCGTAGCAATGTTATGGCAATCTGGATTTTATTGACCTACTATGTACCGAGACACTAGAAATTGGGTTAAAAGTTGTGATCAATGCCAAAGAACCGGTAATATCTCAAGAAAGAATGAAATGCCTTTGACTATATATTTGGAAGTTGAGTTATTTGACGTTTGGGGCATTGATTTTATAGGACCATTTTCTAGCTCATATAATAATAAGTACATTCTTTTAGCAGTTGATTATATCTCTAAATGGGTGGAGGCCATTCCTTCACAAACTAATGATGCTAAAGTCGTGCTTAAGTTCCTTAAACGGAACATAGTTTGTAAGTTTGGAGTCCCAAAAGCAATAATAAGCGATGAAGGTAAGCATTTTTGTAATAAAATTATTAACACCTTGTTGCTTAAATATGGATGCAGGCATAAAAATTCACTCCCCTATCATCCTCAAGCCAATGGCCAAGTGGAGTTGGCCAACCAGGAAATTAAAATCATTTTGGAGAAAACGATCAACCGATCGAGAAAGGATTGGACAAACAAGCTTGAAGATGCTTTGTGGGCGTATAGAACGACATTTAAAACACCGTTGGGAATGTCTCCATATAAGCTTGTTTATGGAAAAACGTGTCATTTACCTGTAGAAATAGAGCATAAATTTTATTGGGCCATTAAAACTATTAATTTTGATTTTAAATCTGCAGGTAAAAAGAGAATGCTCAAGCTAAGCGAGTTGAAGGAATCGCGGCTAACTTCGTATGAGAATGCCAAGATTTAAAAAGAAAAGTGAAATTTTGGCATGATAAACACATTCTTCCTAAGCATTTTGAAGAAGGGAAAAGTGTTGTTGTTTAACTCAAGACTTAAATTGTTCCCTGAAAAGCTTAAGTCTCGATGGCCCGGGCCATTTGAAATGGTTCGTATATTTCTTTATGGAGCAGTGGAAATAAAAGGAGAAAATTGTGTCCCATTCAAAGTAAATGGTCAAAGATTAAAACCCTATTTGGCCGGAGAAAAAGTTCCTAAAGGAGTAATTTACTCCTTAGAAAACGCAATGGAGAGTTAAAGAAGTTATAGGAGAGTCGAGCTTAACGACTCTAAACAAAGTGCTTGTTGGGAGGCAACCCAATAATAATAATATTGTAGTTGTGTGTTTTTATGTGTTTTTTTATATTTTGGTGTGATTTAATTGACTAATCAGATGTATTTCACTTGTTTGTAGGAGGTACCGGAGTTTCATTATCCATTTTGGAGGTATAATTGAAGAACAAGTGTAAAAAGGGAGGTTTTCTTGCCGAATTGTGCTTTAAGTGTTTAGAATTATCATTCATATATACATTGTGCATTTCAAGTTTATTCAAGTGAGTTTTGGTGATAATATGTTTATAAATGCTCATGGACTCATTTGATATGCATTTAATGCCCAAAAGTGCCATTTTGGTGTAAAAGTGCAAAAATGATCAAAGAACCTCACCCCTCGATTTGCAATATAGATGTGTTTGATGTGTTTTAAGAGGTTGGATATTGTGTTTATGGTATATTACATGTGCTTGGAGGTTGGAATTGATAAAAATTTTGTTCAAAGTGTGTTTTGGAATTGGACAAAAAAGGGAGAAAAAGTTTGAAAAAAAATTGCAGTTTCTGCAATTAGTGCAGAGAAAGATAGATCCGAGCTCGGATCTGACTCAACCCAGAAGGATCCGACCTCAGATCCGTTAGATCAAAGGTGACAAAAGTAGATACGAGCTCGGATCTAACAAAACCCAAATGGATCCGAGGGCTCGTCTGTGTTTCTGGTGAGACGGATCCGAGCCATGACTGGAAATAATCCGAGGTTGGATCGTGAGTTTTTAAAAAATGAAAAAGGGAATCCGAGCTCGGATCCAACAAAACCAAGTAGAATCCGAGCTCGGATCCAACAAAACCAAGTAGAATCCGAGGGCTCGGCTGAACTTCTGGAGTGGCGGGTCCGAACCCTGTCGGATTCGAGAGCTTCCAGAACCGATCCGACCTCGGATCGATTCGCGGATATAGTAGAACCGAAGCCTTGTTTCTGTATTTTTCAAATTCCTTCTTCCCTCTTCTCACCAAAACCCTACCCCTTTTTCACCAATTTTCCATTTTGTCCAATAATCATCCAATTTTTCACCAGAAAAACATCTCCCAACCTCTTTTGAGTATAAACCCTCAATTTTCTGAAATCAAAAACATCAATTTCGGGGGTTTCGATTCTCAAAACTAGAATTCGGTCTTCACTGAATTTGTGCTCTTTGTGATCGAATTTGGGGTTGTTTCTTCATCATTTTTGCATCCTTATCATCCTCCATCATCACTTCACACATTTGAGGTAACAATTTGCAACTTTCTTTGAGATTTTATAATTCCCAATTTTACATTTTTTTTTTGTTTTTGGGCATATTCTAGTAATTGCTTATATGTTGAAATTTCTTACTATAATTGTGCTACATTATGCTACAATAAGTTGTTACAACTATTTTCATACTTAGTCTTGAAAGAATTGGGGAGTTGGTAATATTTTAAAATTTTTTGCTTGAATTGTCTTGTCTCTAAAGATAATTTGCCTTTGTTTGGTAAATTTGGAGCTCATTTGTATGCACTTTATTAAGAATGTGTATAGCCAATTGTATTGTGATTCTTGGATGAAGTTATGAATATATTGGCACGTACATTCTTGAAATAATGGTTAAGATTCAAGGTTGTTGCACATTATCTTTTAAGAGTCCCTTCTATGTGAGAGTTTAGTTTATTCTTGACTTCGACATTACTTCTCAAATGATTGAACTCTTTGATGAGATTCTACCTGAAAATATACTATTCAATTGTTGAAAGTGAATATTCAAGCCAAGTGTTGGGATGGTAGAGTGAAAATACTATTATACAGGTGCATTTGAGTTTGAAATGAGATAAAGTAGGATTTTTTATTGTATTTGGGTACATTTTGGCAGGGAGTTTAGCCCTTTTATAAGGGAAAACTCTGTTGAAATTTTCTTAAATTCCTATTTAACATGTGTGAGCAAGTTTATATTGTTTCTAATGAACATTCATCTTGTTTGTGTATAGGTACTATGGCTCGCACAAGGAGGGCTCGTATTCGTACTCCTACACCCTCTTCAAGTGAAAAACACACTTCTTCACCTGAGGAATCACCAGTTGAGGACTCTCCTTCACCTCAGTCCCCACCTCGTTCTCGCCGGAAAACTGTGTCTACTAGTCGCGAAGAACCTCTTCTAGACTATGATACCACGCGATTCACCTTACTCGAGAATCAACAGTGGTACGACGCCAGTTTAGACAAGGAGATCATTGTTGAAAAACATTTGGCACAAGAGGTGGATGACCACTACAAGATCTCCACAGCATTCAAATGACTTGGATGGGAGACTATACTAAATTTGCTGAAGCATTACTATCCCAATCTGGTCCAGGAGTTCTACGCCAATG